GGTAGGTGTTTTGTTTGAGACAAGGTCTCTCCTTTATAGCTTTGGCTGTCCTGGAACTCACTATGTAGACCAGGCTGGCCTTGAATTCAGAGATCCGCCTGCCTCTGCCTCCTGAGTGCTAGGATTAAAGGCACGCACTACCCTTCATCTTATTTTTGAGACAAGATCTCTCACTGAACCTGGCATTGCTTCAGCTAAGCAGTCTGGCTGGCCACTGAGCTCCAGGGGCCTGCCTCTGCTCTGCCAGTGCTGGTTTCAGGCATGTGCTGCCACACCTAACCTTGACATCCATGCAGGGGATCCAAACTCAAGTCCTCAAGCTTGTATAGCATGTATCTTACCAGCTGAGCCATGTCCCTGGAAATCCTGGGCATTCTGTGCCCCTTCTCAAAGGGGGATAGGGTTGATAATGTCCCTAGTAAGACTAGAAGTCATACATAAAAAGAGAAACTGGGAAGACCTCAGCATGGCTAAACGATAGGAGATTGGGGATGGGGTTGCTATAAACCCATTAAGTTCTCCAAGCCTGCTCACTATGGCAATGAGTCAGCACCCATGTAAAAGCTGAGCTATTCCTGCCAATGCTCCTAGATGCCACTTGCCCTGATGACTGTCCAGAGGGCCTGCAGCCAGGCTCTTCCCACTGCTGCCTGAGTCCACCTCTCTCTGGGCACAGACACAAGCTCAGGGTTCTTTGGCAGAACAGGTACAGGGGCCTGAGGAGGGTTGAAAAGGCCAGTAAGCCTGGGGGACTAAATAGCTGCTTACCATCCGGAACACCAAAGTACAAGCACTTGCCTGACTTACCCTTCCTCACAGCAGCTACAGGCAATCCTACACTTGTGCCTATCTTCCCTCCGCTCTAGATCCCACAGTGGTCTCCCTTTCGACGCAGTGTAAACCTCAAATCCTTCTAACGTACAGCCAGGCCTGTTACCTGCCTATGTCGCCCTTTCCTTCTGACCTCACCTACCCTTTCCTTCCTGCCTTACTCTGCTCCAGCCATGCAGACCCTCTTGCTTCTTCCTTAAACACACAAGCACACTGCTCAATGCCTCTGTACCTGCCACTCATCTGGCAGTCTTCCTCTGGATATTCACACAACTTGCTTCCTCTTATCTTTCAGTTCTCTGTATAAATGCCACCATCTCAAAGAGCTCTTGCTACGACCAGTGCATTGTGGGCAATGCATACACATACACCCCCATTCTTCGGATCATTTATCACCTTCAACTACAGGCACCTCAGCATCTACTGGCTCACAAACAAGATTCCATGCACCCACCTGACTGCAGTCTTGGATTTCTCTCCTTCCTCTCCCCACTAGCTCATTCTTTGTATCCAGGCAGACCTCGAATAGGGGGAACTACAGGTCTCTGTCAACATAGCACAGCTCAGCAGCTGCCATGGTCTCAGTCTGGGTACCACAGACAGTGCTCAGAGTAGGGTACCAAACTGCTACAAATGAGATATCACCCCCTCCCATGTTTATTTGCTCATCTGTATGTGTGCATACATGCGTATGCGGTGTCAGATTCCCTGCAGCCAGTTACTGAGCTGCCTGACATGGGTGCTAGGACCATCTCACAGCCACCCCCCAAATCAATTATCTAAAAAAAAAAAAAAAAAAAACCATAACAAAACAGGATCTTATTTAAACTTGGGCTAGCCTGGAACTATGTAGACCGTGCTGGTCTTGAACTCACAGGGATCTACCTGCCTCTGCTTCTCAAGAGCTGAGATTGCATATGTACATGCAAGAGATGAGGAAGCAAGTTATGTAAACAACCAAAGGAAGACTGTGCCAGATAAGTGACAGATGCAGAGGCCGTGGAACAGATCTGTGCCTGGATGTTTAAGCAGCAGGGCATGTGCCCTTGTACCAAGCTTTTTTTTTTTTTTTTAAATAGATTCACTTTTGGGCTGGCACCACTTGGGAGGCAGAGGTAGGTAGCGATCAAGGCAAGCCTGGTCTACAAAGTGAGTTTCAGGACAGCCAGAGCTGTTACACAGAGCAACCGTGTCTCAAAAAAACTCAAGAAAAAGATTTACTTGCCGGGCAGTGGTGGTGCATGCCTTTAATCCCAGCACTTGGGAGGCAGAGACAGGCGGATTTCTGAGTTCAAGGCCAGCCTGGTCTACAGAGTGAGTTCCAGAACAGCCAGGACTACACAGAGAAACCTTGTCTCAAAAAACAAAACAAAAAAAAAAAAAAAAAAGAAGATTTACTTTTAGAAAGCCAAGAGCCTTTAATCCTAGTAGGACCAGCATAAGACTCTTGGTTTGAGGCCAGCTACACTTACATAGTGAGTTCTAGTCAAGCCAGGACTACATAGTGAGACCATTTCAAAACCCAAACCTTTCCATCTCTACCTCACGAGGGCCAAGATTACAGACACAAGCCACCAAAACCCAGCTTGACAATGTCGACTCAAAAACCTTAGTTTTTAGGCTCAGTTCTCTTTTAATCTGCTAAACTTGTCTCAACTACCCAGCTGGCTACCTACAGTTGCTTAGGAAGCCAGAAACTACCTGCCTTCTCTTTCTCAACCCTCTTTGTTGGTGAAAGAACAACACAGTGGTGAAAGCTCCACTGAGCTTTGTTCAGAAATATTCAATACATCTGTCTTTCTCTTGCCCTAACCTCCTGGTCCTGCTAATGTCACCTACTGTGATACTCACAATCTCCTCCCACTCCACAGATGGCTCACCTTTTGGCCCTTCCCCAATGCAGATTCCCTACAGCAGACAGTGTTGTCTTTCAGAAATACACACCTGCTCATCTTATAACCAGCATTAAATCTTGGCTCTAATAGCAAATACGTTGCTCAGTGGTTTTCCTAGCTTTTCTTCTTTAGGGCCAAAGACAATACCATTTCCAGTGTTTAGCACATCACCCAGTACAGAACAGAGGCTGGGTGTAGAACCCTGTATCCTGCCAGATACTACTCAGATGCTAACAGCAAGGCAGGGACTTCAGGCCTACTTCCCAAGTGCCAGTAAAACCTCTACCTCCTTGGCCAGGGAAAGACTCCTTACCTTTTGGTTAATCTCAATCTCAACTGTTAAGTTGGAATATTACCTTTAGGAGATGGGAGAAATGGCCCAGTGGTTAAGAGCACTAGCTGCTCTTGCAAGAGGACCTGGGTTTGATTCCCAGCACCCATGTGAAAACTTGCAACTGTCTGTAAACCAGTTCCAGGGGATCTGTTACACTCCAGTGGCCTCCATGGGCACCAGGCACACAAATAGTGCAATCATACAAGTAGGCAAAACACCCATACACATAAGCAAAAAAAAAAAAAAAAAATCTCAGCCAGCTTAGAGTGACATGGTGCATGCACCTCAAAGGCTCAGTAACATCTCATGGAGGAAGGCGGTCTTACCATAGCTACATCCCCTCACCCCCCATAATCAAATACTACCCCATATAAACCAAGGTTAGAACTCAGGATTTGGAATTAAAACTCCAAGAATTAAATGACAAAATGAAAGCGTGAAAGGGTGTAGACATAGCTCTACAAAGTAAGGGCCACCATGCTGCAGTCCCATGACTCACCTTCAGGAGACAAGGGTGGTATCACTCAGGAAGAGCTGCCAGGCTGGTCACCAAGCACCCTTCCTCCTTGTGTCCCTCCCTTATGACCATGGATTAACTCCACTGCACTCCCCGAGTCACATGCCCTCTATGTATGCCTGCATGGCTCAGGGTGTCACTTCAGGTATGATAGGAAAGATAAGGCACTTTTTGCGTGACAAAGACTTACCAGGGCTTCAAATCATCCAGCAAACAAGGGCTCCAGTGACTCATCCAGAGAGCCTAGAAACCCTCCTACAGGACTACATAGCCCTCCACACCCTGAGATGTTATCTAATAGAGAGCCAGAAAGAGCCCACTACATGAGCCGGAGAGATGGCTCTTTCCAGAGGCTCTCAGCTTCATTTCCAGCACTCATTTTCCAGAAACCCACAATGGCCTGCAACTTTAGTTCTGAGGGATCGGACACCCTCTCCTGGACCCTGAAAGCACACACATACACATAAATAAAATAAAAATACATCTTTATATGTAAAAAAAAAAAAACATCAGTTTTCTATTATAAAAATTCATAAAAAAAATCATGAATTAAGAGGCTACATTTGTAAGGTGAAAGACCGAAAGACTATTAAAACTACATAAATTCTTTTTAAACTAAGTGGAACCTAAATTAAGTGAACTCTGTCATTCAGTGCTATGTAATGTGGCCTTAAAATTCAGCAAGCAACCACACAATCCTTTCTTTCTCTTTCCTACTTCTATGAGGCAGAGCTTTTCTATGTACTCAGACTGGTCTTAAACAGCTCCAATCAGGACTCTGAAAGTGAAAAGATACTATTACTTTAGAACAACAACAACAAACCATAAAATTAAAAGGACCAGGCAGGCACAGTGGTGAACACACACTTGCAGTCCCAGCTACTCATGGGGTTGAGGAAGTCATTTGAGACCAAGTGTTTGAGGCCAGCCTTGACAATACAGCTACTCCTTTATCCCACTCTCCACGAAAAGGAGACACGTCTTTGATGTGTCCCACAGATAAAGTAGTGTGGGAAACTGTATTCCTTGGTGTGCCTTGCTTCCTCAAAGTCAAGGCTGGCTGGCACAAGCACCCTGCGACATGTGGTTAGCACTACTAAAGAAGTAAACAGTTATGGTTCATCATGTTGAGTTCTATTCCTTCTACCCTCCCCCACTCCACTACTGGAGACTGTACCTAGTGGTATATGCATGCTAAGTTCTAGCACTGGGCTTTACTCCTGGCCCTTGTTTTATGTTAGGACAGGGTCTCACTGGCCTAGAACTAATTCTGTAGTCCAGGCAGACCTTAAATCTATGACCTGTCTCAGCATCCCAAGTATCTGGGATTACAGGTGGGCCACCTGCCTGACCTAGAGGAGGGTTTTAACATGAAAGCTTTCCTCTTCCATGAGATACTTAACCACACAGCGACCATAATAGCTGAGATGAAATTTCAATGGGTATTATGTCTCTGGTCAAGCCCCTCTCCCCAATGATTCTAGCTTCTACAGGGGAGAAGCTGCAGAACTGTGGGTTGGTCTACTGCATGTTTCTCCCTGGGAGTGCTAATTTTCTGGGGGATTCTGGGCCAGGTGCTGTTCCCATTCGACTTCAACCAACTTGTACAGCTCCATTGTGGCCTGCGCGTCTTCTACCGAGGAATGTCCACTTTTTCCAGCCTAAAATGGAAAAGAACATGAAGACAAGAACTGTTTCTTTTCTCAGACAACTCTGGACTCCCTGCAACCTGCTAGTCATCTATACTTTATCTTCTATAGTTTATGAATTGTAGTTAGAAGTCTACAGGGGCCCTCCTCCCCCACACATCTCTAAGTTTCAACTCCCAGAAATGTTCTGGGTGACATGTACCCACAGTTCGATATTCTGTGGCCACTGTCCTGGACTCCTGAACATGTGCAATGTCTGAGTGGTCTTCTTTTCCCACTGTATCATTAGCTATAGTCTGTAAGGTGCCCAAAAATTATTATTTCTCCTTACAGACAGGGAGACTACTGGGTCACGTTTGGTGGGGGCACTTGGAGAGAAGTTACCTGGATGTCCCGACTCAGCAGCTTCTTGGTGAGATGCTTCAGTGACAAAGTGACATTTTCTGGGCAGTCAGCCTTCCGGTTGAGAAGTGGTATCTGGGAAGTGTCTCGGGTGAGGGACTTGGGATGAAAGTACTGTAGGGCTTTGTAGTCATTGTGAATGGCATGCCCTACTACTACCTTCCCTGAGAGTATCTTCAAGATCTGGAATAGGCATATAAGGAGGTAATGAGAAGCCATACTCAAAGGTGGGGCTCCTTATATCCTGAAGGCCCAACATAGCCATCACCAACATACCATCCACCACCTCTACCCTCACCATTCTTGAAATGCCCTCTTCCACAACTGTTTCTCCTTCAGAACTTCATCTCTCCTTTCCCTAGAGAACTGCTGTGTAATCCTGTTTGGATCTATATCACCAGAGGTTCCTTACATGCTTATTAATTTCCATCCCAACAATGGTTATCAGTATTCTCCCCTGGGCTGCCATCCCCGAAGAACCTGAGGCCTTGTATATGCCAAACAACTGCTCTACCACCGATCATTATCCCTAGCTGCTTCCGTTAGTTTCCAATGGAACATAAAGATGCTGATCATGGGGCTGAAGAAATAACTCAGCAGTTAAGAGTGTGTACTCTGCACGCAGACTAGAGTTCAGCTCTTGGCACCTCCTGGCACCTATGTAGGGTGACTCACAGCTGCCTGTGACTCCAGTTTGAGAGGATATGATACCCTCTTCAGGTCTCTGAAGACACTACACACAAATGTAAAAAACACATACACACAATTAAAAATAAATCTTTACAAAAAAATTAATCTAGGTAAGGTTATATAAACCTACAATCACAGCACAAAGAAAGCTGAGGCAGGCAGACCGCATATATAGTATAGCCTGAGCTACATGAGACCCTGTCTCAAAAAAAACAGGGTTGGCAGGGTTGGAGAGATAGCTCAGTAGTTAAGAGCACTGTCTGCTATTCCAAAGGTCATGAGTTCAATCGCCAGCAACCACAGAGTGGCTCACAACCATCTGTAATGGGGTCTGATGCTCTCTTCTGGCAAATAAATCTTTAAAAAACAAACAAACAAACAAACAAACAAACAAAACAAGCCGGGCGGTGGTGGCACACGCCTTTAATACCAGCACTTGGGAGGCAGAGGCAGGCAGATTTCTGAGTTCGAGGCCAGCCTGGTCTACAGAGTGAGTTCCAGGACAGCCAGGGCTCCACAGAGAAACCCTGTCTCGAAAAACCAAAAAACAAAAACAAAAACAAAACACAAAAAACAAACCAACAAACAAACAAAAAAAACAGGGTTGGATCTGGGAATGTGGCTCAGAGTACTTGCCTAGCATGCATTAAACCCTGGGTTCCAGCACTGCAATAACTGGGCACATTGGCACAGGCCAGTAATCCCTATACTTGGGAGGTAAAAGTAGGAAGAACCAAAGTTAAAGGTCATTTTTGGCTCCACAGAAAGTCTAAAACTAGACCGGATGCATGAGGCTAGCCTGGGATATATGAGAGTTTGCCTCAAGGGGGAAAAAGTCCAATGAGATGGACTCTGAAGGTAAAGATTCTTGTCACCATGTTTGATGGTCTGCATTTGATCCGAGACCCACATGAGAGGAGAGAACCAACTTCCACAAGTTATCCTCTAGCCTCTATATTCAGGTACACTCCATCTTCACCGAAGAAATCAAAGAAAACAAACCATAGCCATCTAAAGAGTAACGCCGCAGATCGGGTTTTCTGGATACTTGTCTTGAAACCAACTAACGTCTTGGCATTTAAAGTCTTACAAGTTCTCCAGGCCATACTCAAAATGGGATACTGAAAACAGCAAGAGTCCTAGACAGCTTTCAGGGGACCCACCTAGTGATGCATCTGGGCTCATCTCAGATTCATAACCCCAGCATAAGCAAGGTGAAAAGCTTTGTGATGAAAACCACAATTTGTCTTTGCCTAGGTAGGTTCAGTCAGTAAGCATCTGCTGTAGGTGCTCTGCCCAGTCTCCTACCTAGCACCATCTGCATCTCATCTGGCCCCTGGCTGCCCTTACTGAAGCTAGGACCTCTCCCACACATCTGCTCAACTGTGCCCTGTAGAGAGGATGTGCCTTGGCATTTCTTTCCTTTTGTTTTTGAAAAACCTCACTGTGTAGTCCTGATTGGCCTCAAGTTTAAAGCTCCACTTGCCCCTGCTTCCTCAGTGCTGGGATTAAAGGTGTGCACCACCAATGCCTGGTACTTCCTTCCTTTTTAAAAAACACCTGATAAACCTCCTTCAGTGGACTGTCTGGCATTAAAAGAATCATTGGAGGGGCTGGGGATGTGGCTCAGCTGGTACAGTGCTTGCCTGTCATGCATACGGCCTTGGGTTGTATCCCCCAACTCTATGTAAACCAGGTGTAGTGGCACATAGCTATAATCAGAGCACTCAGGAGATAGATACAAGAGAATCAGAAGATCAAAATCATCCTAAGCTACAAAGCCAGTCTGAGGCCAGCCTGGGCTACGTAAAGCCCTGTCAGAGAAAAAGAATCACTGGAAGCGTGTGTAGAGAAAGCAAAGAACAAGTTCCTCAAACGCAAAGGAGAACAATGGTGCCCTCTGGTGGCCTCCCGGGACCAGCAGCCTCTCGTGCCCTCTATTGTTCTCACCCTACCTCCACTCTTGATTATTAGCTGTGAAGAATGAGAACCCCTTACAAACCATGTGTCTTTTATGTCTTACTACATGACACCCAGATGCTCACCAACAATACAACTATGTTTCAATTCAGCTTCAAAACAAAGTTTGACTTTATATGCATGTGCATCAATGTGTGATTGATGTCCAAGGAGGCCAGAAGGGCAGCCCTGGAACTGGAGTTACAGATGGTCGAGGATGAATCTCCACATCAGTACTGGGAACTGAACTCAAGTCCTCTTGAAGCAGCAGGGGTGTCTAACTGCAGTGCCATCTTTCCAGGGTGCTTTTACTTTTTATTTTGTTTTTGTAAAAGTTCTGCCTCCTGCTACAAACACTTCCAGCCTGCTTCTTTCACACCTGTTGTTGTTCTTCTGTTCACGTCATCACTTCTATCATCGCTGGCTACTCATTCTTGAAGTCAATTCCACTAGACACTGGATCTCAACTAGTAAAATTACTTCCACCACCAGGAATAACTTCCTGACTTTAGCATTCTTATGATGGCTAATCTTGTCAACTTGGCAAGATCTAGAATCAGGTAAAGATAACCTTGTGGAGGTGTTTGTGGGGGAGTGTCTAGACTGAGTTAACTAAGGTGGAAGACCCACACTAAGTGTTGGTGGTAACCAACCAGCTGCCTCATACTCCAGCTGCCATGGTGTACTGAACTGTCAAGCTATTAGCCAGAATAAACCCTTTATTCTTTAAACTAGTTTTATCACAACAATAAGTAATACAGAAAGACAGTAATGAGGGGTGAGGCTATTGCTGTGATAAACCTGACTGTGGCCAACATTTGCCCATGTATTTAAATGTTGAGTGCCCAGTTGGTGGCTTAATTAGAAATTATTAGGAGGTGTGGTCTTGGTATAGATATTGTCACTGGGGGTGAGCTTGGGCTTTGAGGTTTCAGAAGCCCATGCCAAATCCACTGTCTGTCTCTCTTTGCCTGTTGTCTGTGGATCAGGATGTAAAGTTCTCAGTTACTGCTCCAGCGCCATATTGGTATACTTCCTGCCATGATGATCATAGACTAAACCCTCTAGAACTGTAAACAAGCCCAACTAAAAGCTTTCTTTTATTCAGTGTTGCCTTAGCCATGGTCTCTTCATGGCAGGAGAACAGTTAGACACTGATCATGCAGCTCTTAGGCCTTTGGAGCTGGTTTGGGGAGGGAATGTAGGAGCTTAGAGCTGTGGATTAGAGAAGAACTAGAGTAATGGACTAATTTGTTTGGCAGAGATATTTTTACATAGGGAACTATTCAACACTATGTAAGACGACTGCTCACTGCTCTTATCCACATCTACAGTGAGAGGCAGCAAGTAGGAAATTAAAATATGGCAGGAAAATACAGTTTTATGTATGGGGAAAGGAGTATATGCCATACATTCAAGTTCCAGGCTATGAAAAGTGATACCGCCATTGGGACAAGGGGGCGAGTGAATAAAGGGCAAGACCCTGCCCACAGAAAGATTCACTTCATTTAAATGGAGAAAGCCAGATAGCACTTAGGAAGTAGTTTTCTTTTTGCTTGTTTTTTGAGACAGGGTTTCTCTGTGTAGCCCTGGCTGTCCTGGAACTCACTCTGTAGACCAGGCTGGTCTCGAACTCAGAAATCCACCTGCTTCTGCCTCCCAAGTGCTGGTATTAAAGGCGTGCGCCACCATTGCCTGGGCTGGAGTATGTTTTATATCATGATGTTGATATTAAAATGGCATCTTGGGGACAACAAGGAAAGTTGATTTAACAATGATATGTCTGTTATGTTGACAGAGGTCATCTTGAGACATTTACCCAAGAAGAGAGAACCTTATTGACCTGTTGCCTTTTCTTTATGGTGAGTGATGTGATGTGGGTGGTGCCACCCCCAGGCAGGTATTACCAAGAAAGCAGGCTAAACAAGCAGGAAGGAGCAAGCTAATAGCAACATTCCTCCACAGCCTCTGCCTTGAGTTCCCACTCTAACTTCCCTCGGGCTGGACTATCACTAGAATAAACCCTCTTTCCTCTAAGGTTGCTTTTGGTCGTGGTGTTTTATCAGAGCAATAGAAACCCTGACTAAGACAGCTGGGCTCTAGAATTCTGATTCATTCGTTATGCTTGTGCAGCAAGCACTCTACACAATAAGGCATCTCTAAACTTGTTCTGAGACAGGGTCTCACCATGTAACTCTAGGTGACCTGGGACTCACAGAGATCCACCTATCTCTGCTTCCCAAGTGCTGGGTTTAAAAGTGTGCTCCATCACACTCAGCCTTTGTTTCTGATGTGATGGGCTCACAGCTAAGAGTCTGCCTAAGTTTCAGAGACTCTGTTTAGACTGTTAGAAACTATGGAAACTTTTGAAATTGAACTAAATCCAGTTTGTATTATGAGGACCAAGGATGGAAGGTTTGGCTAAAAAGTATGATGGACAGGGATGGACTTGTGATAGAACTGTTTACTTGCCGGGCAATGGTGGCACACGCCTTTATTCCCAGCACTTGGGAGACAGAGCAGCACTTGGGAGGCAGAGGCAGGCAGATTTCTGAGTTCAAGGCCAGCCTGGTCTACAGAGTGAGTTCCAGGACAGCCAGGGCTACACAGAGAAACCCTGTCTTGAAACAACAACAACAACAAAACAAAAAACCAACCAACCAACCAAACAAACAAACAAAACCTATTCATTCCATTGGCTGGAGTCCTAGGCTGACTAAAAAAAGAACAGATGAGCTAGTATTCACTTCTCTCTGCTTCCTGACTGTTCAGTAGCTACATCCTGCTCTTGCTGCCACAATGTCTGTACTGTAATGGAAGAAATCCTTAAACTCTGAACCCAAATAAATTCATTCAATTCCTTTGCTCAGGTATTTTGTCACAGTAGCCACAAAAACAATTCCTTACTCCAATAGGAAGCCTTCTTAATCATGTGACGTCATTCTCCCTCCCTTTACCATCCTTTGATACCTCCCCAGAACATCACTTGCTCAAAGACCTCTCCAGAGTCCTCTCTACTGTCCTGTCCCACGCTCTCACCTGATTCCGAGCAGTCTTAAAGGGCGTAGCATTAACCATGTGGCACTTCCGGATGCCACTCCATCTGGTGCGGTAGTCGACGATATAGCAGGGCGGGAGGATGTACTCATCATAAAGCACATCTCCATTGTAATTCACAATGCTGCATCGAGCTAAGGAACTAACACGCCCCTTGGGTCCTGTGCCCACCATTTCACAGTCTATTGCCACCATCTTCCCTGGCATATTTTGAGAGACTTTAGGGCACTTATCCTCAGAACGAGCTTGGGTGGAGTTCTGTACAGCATTTTTCTTCAAGGGCTTCTTCTTGGAGCTTTTATCCTTTGACTGAGCTTGGGTGGAGTTCTCTGTAGCAATTTTCTTTTTCAAGGGCTTCTTCTTGGAGCCCTTCTTCTGGGTGCGAGATGGGTGGCTCTTAATCTTTGGAAGGGCACTCTGAAACTCCCCTAGCAAATCTACTTTACCAACCACAGACTCAGTCTTCTTTGAAGGAGCAGGGGTCAGCCAAGACAATGATGCCTTCTTGTCTTTGGAATGCTCTGAGTCCCTCTTGGAGACAGCTGCCTCTTTCTTCTTCTTTGGGCATGGAAGGATCTTCAAAATGCCATCTACTCTTGAAGTTTCCCCTTTCTTTGGAGGTTCTGAGTTCAACTTAGACACCTTACTAGGGGGTTGGTTCTTTTTATTCAGAAATCCCTTCTGTTCCAAGAACCGTCGCTTCTTGACAAAACGTTGATGTTTGGCATTTCCTCCAAATGCCTTTTTCGAAGGTTCCCCAAAGTCCAAATTCAGGAGTATGGTAGACATGAGGTCAGTGGATGGTGGGAGAAAGCTGGAAAGAATGGCTCACTGACAGCAAAAGGATGAGAGTCTCATTCTCTGTGGAATCCCATAGTTCAACATGTGGAGGTCTGCAATTGGCCTTGGGGACAGAAGTAATCCTGATACCTACACCATAGGCCTGAGAGAAAAAGAAGACCAATTCTGGAAAACTTAAGTGATTACTACCACAAGCCCAAAGCCTGGATAACTAATGAAGCCCCTACCTTTAGGTTGGTCTTAAAAGGGTTGTTTCTGAAAGACCCTTCCAGGGGGGAGACCCAGGAAGGACACGACCCCAAAGACACTCCAGATACCGTCTTGCTGTAATTACATGAGTCAGGTCCTTTAATATACGAAGCTTTGGGTTGATATGTGCCTCACACAGGAGGTAGGGGTTATCGACCTCAAGGCCCAAAAGCTTAGGGTTATTATAGGCAAAGGCTGGGGGTGGGGAGGGAGAGGGTTGTGGGTAGTCACACACAATTGGTTGTTTCAAATGTCTGTAATGTGTGTAAGCAGATCCCAGGAAAAGGTTTGACAAATCTCACGAGAATAGTCTCTGTCCCCGTGGTCTTGGGACCCAGTGTGAATACTTATCTGAGTCAACAGACCATCTGGCTGGATTTAATTCGAAAGTCCTTGGAACCTCTGGTGGGAGTTTTTCTAGTGAAGGCTAAGTCAGACACCACGGGAACAGACTCCCGGAACACTCAACTGACCTTTGTTTCTCTAGCTCTGCATCCCCTGTGACGGCCTTGGGTTAGTAAGCTAGCTGAGCTGTTATTCTTAACTATTTGTATTAGTGAATTAAGGCTTCCTGTTATACTATTGAGTTTAAACTAACTTAAAATTCCTCTTTCAGTTTCCCCTCTTCAGATCTTGTGTCATTTTAAAAACTAAAGATGCTGGGGCTGGAGAGAGATGACTTAGTAGTTATAACTTGTTGCTCTTGCAGAGATGTTAAGTTCTGTTCCCAGCACCCACGTGGTAGTAGTTCACAGGATCTGTACCTCCAGTTTCAGAAAAATTAGATGCCTTCTGTTCTCTGAAGGCCCCAGGCAATTAAGCGATACACATATATAAATACAAACAAAACACGGAAATAATATACCTAATAAAGTGAGGGTGCTAAGGCTGGCGATAAAAAGAAGTGGGACCCACCGAGATCGAACTTTATCATGTCTACAAAGTCGAAACAAGTGAGTACTGAAACAGCAGAGAGATGAAACTTCTAAGTACGTTTGTCAGTGGTGAGATGAAACATCATAGATAAGGATCACCCAGGAATCTTCAGCATGCTATAAAACGGAGAGCAAATAAGGAATCGCTCTCCCTGGGATCCACGTGGGGGCGATCTCCTCACCTTACTTGTGCCCCACAATAAGACCTGTGACACTACACAGCAGAGACTCTACGTGGAGGAAAATGCAGACGGACCACCCCGGCCACTACACTCATGACGGTCCACGAACCATCCCCGAACACCTACCTCCAAGTTGGGTCCCACTAAGATCGCAAGCGTCCGGAGCCGGATGTAGGCGCCGGCGCGCGCCGACGTATGCCGGGACGGCAAGAACGCGGGCGGCAACGGGAAGGCGGCCGGCGCACACGCGCCCGCAGCGCCCCCACCTCAGGCAGCGAGGCCAGCGACTCGGAGTGCGTGAGCAGCGGCAACGGTGGTGGGGGTGGCGGCGGCGTGGGTGGGGGCGGGGGCGGGATGCGCTCCCCGGCCCCTCGGGCCCCGTGGAGGTACAACTCGAAGGTGGTGAGCCGCGGGAAGCGGAACAGAGCGCGCCGGAACCGTGGTCCCACTTCCGGGAGGGAGGGCGGGACCTACAGTTTACCTCCTCGCAGTAAGCTGGTGTTGGGCGCGCTTTTGTGACGTCATCGAGACGCCGCTGCGTCTGCGCAAATGCCTTTGCCCAGTGGAAGCCGTGACGTTTGCCAAGTGCGCCTTGTTATTTGGACTTGTAACTGGACGTGATTGTAGGAAGAGGTGTTGTCGGGAGGGTTCGGAGTTCTTGCTTTGCGTTGGGCCTGCAGAATTGAGCCCGGCTTGGGTTGCTTGCTTTCGTGGTACCGACCTTGTGTCTCCTTACCTCCTTCCTCTTTGCACCGACAGTCACACCACAGGATGCCGGGCGTCTCAGCCCATGGCCTCTCGCGTGAGAAGAGAAGGCAACTGGCTGTGGACCTCACCCGCGTCCTAGCTCTCTACCGTTCCATCCTGGACGCCTACATCATCGTGAGGCCACTGGGCTGAGGGCGGGGTGCTTCTTATGGTGGGGGTGATTGGGAGCCCACTGAAGAGAAAATTTGGAGATAGCTCTTGCTTATAAGGAAAGCTGAAGACTAGAACAGTTCCTACCCAGTCTTCTGTCTCTAATAGTTTTGTTTGGTTGAGGTTCGTGGTAGCGGCGTTTTTTTTTGTTTGTTTGTTTGGTTGGTTTTTTGCTTTTCGTTTTTTTTTTAATTTCAAAGATAAATTTATTTATGTATATGAGTACACCGTTGTTGTTTTTAGACACATCAAAAAAGGGCATCGGATCACATTACAGATGGTTGTGAGCCACCATGTGATTGCTGGGAATTGAACTCAGTACCTCTGGAAGAGCAGTCAGTGCTCTTAACTGCGGCGCCATCTCCAGCTCTTTTTCTGTTTTTTGTTTGTTTTTGGTTTTTTGTAACCCCACAACCAACATTTGGGCCGTTCTGCAGTTGCATAGAAACATAGAGAAAGGAGATGTTCCAGACCATATCCTCCACTAAAAGGCAACAAAGAGTGGGTTGGTGAAGAAGTACTTGGCCAGATGTGGTGTAGACTTGTAATCAGGCACCTGAGAACTAGATGCAGGAGAATCAGGAGTTCAAGGTTCACCTAGGCTACAAAACAAGTTCTAGAGCAGCCTGGACTGGATGATGTTACTTTAAAACAAAACAAGAACAAAACAGGGCAGACATACATTAAGTTACCTTCCTGTAATCTTGCCCCTCAGAAGACTGAGACAGAAGAATTGTCTTGATTTGTAGCCAGCTCAAACGAATGTTGAGACTGTCTCATTTCCCCCAACCCCCATACACACACATAGAAAAGCACCTACAAGGCTTGGGGGTGGGGTGAGTCTCAACCTTCGTAATCCTGCAACACTTTAATACAGTTCCTCATGTTGTGATGATCTCCAACTATAAAATTGTTTTTTGCTACTACTTTATAACTAATTTTGCTGCTGTTATGAATCAAATACCTAATATGCAGGATATCTAAAATGTGAACCCTCCAAAGAGGTCCTAACCTACAGGTTGAGAACCATTGTTCTAGATGCTTGTGTAGGACTAGCAAGATGGCTATGTGGTTAAAAGCATTGTTTACTTTTCCAGAGGACCAGTTGTCCCCAGCACCCACATAACTGGTGACTCACAGCCTTCTGTAACTCCAGCTCCTTTGCCTTCCATGGGTACCTGCCTTAACATGAACATACAAATCCACAGATGAAACACATACACATAATTAATAAGAATACTTTAAAAAAGTTTTGTCTATCTGCCGGGCGGTGGTGGCGCACACCTTTAATCCCAGCACTTGGGAGGCAGAGGCAGGCAGATTTCTGAGTTCAAGGCCAGCCTGGTCTACAGAGTGAATTCCAGGACAGCCAGGGCTCCACAGAGAAACCCTGTCTCGAAAAACCAAAAAAAAAAAAAAGTTTTGTCTAGCTTGTATGAGGTCCTGGGTTAAATCTCTGAGTATTGCCAAAATATTTGAAAAAGTTGAAGTGGGATGTGGTGGTGTACCACTTTAATCCCAGCACTTGGATTACAGAGACAGGCAGTCTCCTGAGTTCTAAGCCAACAACAGCTACATATTAAGACCCTGTCTCAAAAAAACAAAAACTTGTTTTAAGTGCTTTCAGAATAGTGAAAATATATGTGTGAATGTCTACTTCTTTTATTTTTTTTTATTTATCTTTTTTTTGGGGGGGGGGGTTTCGAGACAGGGTTTCTCTGTGTAGCCCTGGCTGTCCTGGAATTCACTCTGTAGACCAGGCTGGCCTCGAACTCGGAAATCCACCTGCCTCGAGTGTTTACTTCTGCTTGAATTTTCTTTACATGATGACTCTGAGCTGGTGTCAGCTCATATTTTTTTTTCCTCTATGGAGTTTAAAGTAGCTCTCCACTAAGCTCTGTTAGTTTTTAAGAGTGTCTTATTGAATGTGATATCTATGTTAAAATCACTGTTTGCATTAGCTTGCAGTGCTGGAGACAGAACCCAAGCTTGTATGTGCTCATCAAGCACTCATTAACACCGATTCATACCTCCATTGTTACATTCTTGTTTGTTTGGTTTGTGGAGACAGGGCTTCTCTGTGTAGCCCTGGCTGTCCTGGAACTCACTCTGTGGATCAGGCTGGCCTTGAACTCAGAGATCTTACTATTTCTGCCTCCCAAGTGCTGGGATTAAAGATGTGCACCACCACAGCCCAACTTTACTAATTTTTTTTTTAATTTTTTTACAAAGTAAACTCTGCAGGAACAAGATTCTTGTCTTTAGTTTTTAGTTTACAATAGATTTTGGTGCATAAATAAGGCTGGGGGAGGAGAGTGTTTTTGAGGTGAGGGTCTTTATTTGTAACCCTGGCTGTTCTGGAACAGATCAGTTTGATCTTTGAACTCACAGAAATCCGCCTGCCTTTGCCTACTGAGTGCTGGAAAAATGTGTGTGCTATTTTGCTCAGCTGCATAGGTGGTCTTGCCATTCAGGACTGTGGAGACCAGGGTCTAATTCACCAGCTGGTGATACCCCTAACAAACCTTTTTAATTGTTCTTTAATTAGTTGGTTATTTTCAGATGGGTTCTCACTATGCTGGAATATCTCATGGAAATATTATGGCCTCTGCCACCTGAGTGTTGGGATCCTTTAATAATAAGCACCACATCTGGCCCCCAGAATCTTAGAAGAACAAATGAATGAATTAGAATACACAGCTGTCCGGACCATAGAATAGCAAGTTTTTGTTTTTTTTTTTTTTTTTTTTTTTTTTTTTTTTTT